AGGTTCCTGATGCCATGTGAGGGTCCCGGCGGGCCTGGGCGAGGTTCCTGATGCCAGGCGACGGGCCAGGCGGGCCTGGGCAGGGATTCCTGATGCCATGTGAGGGACCCGTGTTCCTCCTCCACGCTGTGATTCCGTCTGCACAATGACGTGGATCCTACTTCCCCTACGGCTCTGAGCTCTGGCGCCCACGGCTGTGGGATGGGGTAATACTGCCTTTGAGGATGAACAGAGGAGGCGGGAGAAAGCAAGCAGCCACTTCAGGTGCGTCGCGGGGACCCAGGCTGGGCCTCTGTCGGAGACGGGCTGGGAGCCAGGTGTGAGCGTGTGTGTGAGGCTCACATGAACGATGTCATTTATGATGCAAAGATTAGTTTTTAGGTTTAGAACTAAAAAAAAAAATTAAAAAACCTTAGGGGGACAGATGTCAGTTGTGGACAGCGAATTTCAACTGGGTTTACCGTGAGAAAATGCTGCCCGTGTTTTAATTTACTGCCGACCTTTCCTCACTGCCGAAGCGCAGCCTCAGGTCTCGGTTCCTTGCTGTGTCTTCACGGGGGTCAGAAAAGGAACGAAAAGCCTCTACAAACTCCACGTAAGGAGGAAGAGTTATCTCCATCTTACTCGGCATCCCATAAAGCTCCTGGGGTCCTTATTTTTTCTAAACACGGGGTTGACCATCCGACTACAAAGTGCCAAAGGTGAAAGAGGTAAACACAGGTGAGCCAGGAAGGGCGGCCTGTCCGAGGCTCCTCCATCACAAACAGGAGACAGCACTCTGCTGAGCCTCAGGGATGGATGGTGACCATCCTTGCCGGGTGCCATCTATGTGAACCTGCCCCTCCCAGCACTTTCCTTTGTCATGCATAATCAAGAGCCCTTGGTCTTAATCTTGCTGGAATGTGGGCTCCGGGGAGGAGCAGAGGCAGGTTTTGTTCTTGGTTGCTGCGGAAGATCCAGGTACCTGTAGGCACCAAGCTTGGCGGCCACTCCCAGGAGTCAGAGAATCCTGGAAGGACGGCAGGTGCTGCTGAGTGGTCTGCTCGTCCTAGAGGGTCCGGAAGCCCAGGGGCCGGAGGATGTGCTGTGGAAGGCTTCGCAGCCCTGGGCTGGAATGCCGCATGGAGGAGCCAGTGTGTCCAGGCTGGAGTTCCGAGTGTGGCTCTGACAGCCGGCCTAGGGAGAGCACGGGGGTGCCCTCAGGCTGGAAACCGCATGCAGCACACAGACATCATCAGGGCGGAAATTCCAGGACAGGAGAGAGCGCCATTTACAGAACTCTCTGAGGGTCCCCAGTCCCGCCAGTGGAACCAGTTAGAAGAAGTACCGTGACCAGTTTGTTAAGGACTGCGGGAGTCCTCCCCCAACACACACAAATTCAGACCTGGGACCTTCGTTCCCAGGGAGGGGATTAGGGTGAGGGAGGTCAGAAGAGTGGGAGTCCATTCTGCCAGGACCCGAGTGAGCTGGTGGCGTGGTGGGTAAGGTGGTCAGATCCCACATCGCCGACTACGAGGTTCAAGTCCTGATCTGGGAGCTTGAAGAACACACCGAGCATGTGAGAGTACGTGCGTGTGTGTGTGGTGAGAATTGCTAAAGGAGGGGAGAAATGGAGGAGAAAGGGCTGCAGTGTGGCCACCCCCCACTTTCCCTTTCTCTCACTCTCTCTCTTCGAGTTTATGCATTCTTTAACAACAATTTTTTTTTTTACAAAAGGACAGAGTGACACCAGAAAGCCTGCCCTCTCTCTCTCCAAGAGCATATGGAGAAAGGGCATGAGAGGACACAGTGAGAAGATGGCCATCGACCAGACAAGAAGAGAGTGTAATGGCTATGTTGCTGGACTCCCATGTAGCCCACCGTGGTTTGAGTTCCGGACCCGGTGGCTTAAACTCACACTGGGCATGTGTGTATGCGTGCCCAAGATCCCTAGAGGAGAATGGAGGAGAAGGGACTGTGGCGTGGCCATCACCCCTGGGGAGTGATTTCTCGCTTTCTGTCTCTTTGGCCAGCGCACGTGCCCTATAACAAAAACCTCTCAAAAAAAAAAAAAAAAAAAAAAAAAGCCTAAACA